GTCCTTAGGAAATCGGTCATAATCTTAAAGGTAGCAAAGACTTGGACCAACCACTACCTTGCTTATCGCGAACGACTGGTACTTTTTTTTATCTTGGTGTGGCTTTGGTGTCTTGTATTTGCAATGTTTTATGGTCAGTGGGACATATTTGCTACGAAATTCGTTTGCTTGCCAGCGCATTTTTGTGGCTTAAGAAGGATTAAAAATATAAGATGAACCGTCCTTATGGAAATCTATCCTATCTGTCTGCACCACACGGGCTTGAACTCATCCCACTCAAATCATATAAAATTTGGATCATTCTTCTATAAGATTCGCCATAAAGGCCGCTATACAAATTGACCATAGTGGCCTAAGTCCCGTCCCGTAGTATTATCCCGTCTGATGGCAACCATCCAGCCTACGACCCAACCCGTCGTGATAGTTGAAAATCTTGCGAGAGTTGTTGTATCAATAAAAGTCCGCGTCCGAATTGTCCTGTTACTTTTCCCTCCTCGGGCTCTACTGAGAAGTCCAGGCCAGTTCAATCAGAACTGAAATCGATATGGTTGGTATGATATAAGGTTCCTCTGTACATTTGTTATCCGGGTTGGTATTTCTACCCTAGCGTGAGCCAGTATTCGTCAGTTGGGATATTGCCACAAAGACCGCCCTATGGAGGAGACACTGCGACCACATCGTAAGTGCTGAGAAGAGAATCGTCCCTAAGTCGGCCCTTCGTTTATTTAAGCATAATGAAATCTCTTTAGTCTTTAATGGTAGATTTCTCCTGATAACTGGTAAGAGTATGGCGGCCTTATAGTATAAACATTCATACAACATGAATTTCACTTTAAATCATCTTCCAGAGCTGAGCTTGCTTCGACTTCGATGGAGTGAATCTAAAAAACTTCCAAAATATCGGTCAGTCCTCCGAAACATTTGTCAGAATAGCGCATATCTCAAGAGGACAAGGGGAATGGGAAGGCCTCTCCCTCTACGCTGCCCTGTGCGTATAATTCCAAAGGGCCAATTATTCTCTTGTCTTTGTAGTGATCCCACTCGGTGCACAACGCCC